CTAGGTCTTCATAATAGTCTTGAAGCTGAAGTGGAGGCGCTACTCATCGATCTTACGAAATGTGAAGAAATGCAATTACAAAGAGTACAAGTAAGATATGATAACAGAACCCTAGTCTCTTTTCTTCAGAAAAATTCTATTTTTCCTTGAAGGTATAAGACACAACTCTGTAAAATAAAGGAAATTTTGGAAAACCTCCTTACACATTGGAGCATGTTTATCGGGAAGTAAATGCAGTCGCGGACTCTTTAGCAAAAATGGCCTCCACAGGAATATCGGCCACATATATACACCATTCCCAGCTTCCTAGCTATACTCGTGATTAGCTGTTCCTGGATCAACAAGCTACTCCATATATACGAATAAAGTAATACTTTAGTGCTTAGGTTTTAGATATTTTTTCTGATTATATTCCAAAGAGATGTTATGGGATTCTTGTGTGATTTTTGTAAAACAGTCTCTTAGCATATTTTTACTTTAGAAGTCTATAGAACTGTCAGGTGATAATAGAAATCTTTGTAAGACAGTTCTTAGTTATTTTATCTCGAAGCATCAGAACCGTCATGGAATTTTAGATAATCTTTGTACGACGGTTCTTACATTTGGGTAAGTCTTAAGCACTATCCTTTGCAAAAAAAATTTAATTAATAAAATCGGGGGATGCCCACCAGGTACCGCCCTAGTTCTCTTAAAAATAAAGAGAGACTAAATCATCATGTGTTTATACACACAATAAAAATTTGCATTCCATCATTTAGGGTTCTTGCATCAAGTGGTATATCTTTTTTGACATTTTGTGTTTCTCAAACTTGGATGTCTATGGTTGTTGTTCTATTTGAGCATATCAATCCATTTTCCGCATAATCCATTTTCAGTTGTTTCTTTTAAGGTAACTAGACATAAAAACTTCGTAAATTTTTTTTATCTTCTATCCCCTTCTTTTAAACTAAAAAAATTATAGTTCAAAGTATTTTCCTGAATTTTTCTATGTTAAATATCAATATTTTACCATTCTGGTGTTTTGCTCAATATGTACTTCCACTACTGAGAATCATGAACTAATCAAACTATCGTATCATCTGGTTTTGAAATCGAGGTAGGCAACCCAATAGAGAGGTAGGCAACGCAAGAGCGCGATGAATTTGGTTTCATTGAATATTTACGTTTCAATTGATCTTCAATTAGTTTAGGTTATTTCTTGTTGTATTTGTCTCATTTAAGTCTAGGATTATTTTCTTGTTTTTTTTTTATTTTGTGTTCTAGTTTTGACATATTCTGTTACAAAAATAATAGTATCAAGGGTAAGAATCATGATAAGAAGTTCAATCCGCGAAAATCTCTACAAGGACCACAAGTCCTAGGGGCAAAATTGTCTTTTTACTAAAAGGGTAGAATTGTTATTTTACTTATTTTCAATTTTTTGCAGTTTTTTTTTAAAAAAAATAAGAAGTCTTCAAATTGATGTCTACAATATTGTTGGATGGATATGCATCAAGATTGATGGATATTATCACTCTAAAAAGATGATATAGGGTGAGTTCGAACTCAACGAAGATTCTTTACTATTAAATTGATTGTGTTCGCACTTGGATGACATTAGTTTTTGAGAATATCTATTTGTATTAAGAGTGTTATATTGATTCTTCATTGACCCATTGTATTTGAGTCCAAGATGGAAAGGTTATCTCAGATAAGATTTGATTCTTAGTGGATAAGAGTCCTAGTTGTCAATCTCTATCTTATCTCCTTAGAACATGGGATTTGGAGGATTGAGAGATTCTTTTCTATCTTTTTAGGAGTCTAAATTTTTGCTCCCTCTTCTCCTATAAATAGGGACTGAATTCTTCATTGTAAACAAGCGGAGTTTATATTAAAATTAGTGTTGGGTTGTTACCTCACTTGACGGGTTATTGCAAAATCATGTTTTGTGTTTCCTAAGGGACTTATCAATTGAAATTGCTTCAAATTCAATTGTCGCATTCATAGCATTTGTTTTTCTTTTACTATATATTATTGATCTTGATTCTTTCCTAGTCAAAGTTCTTGATTCATAGTTGTTAGAAAGGTGGAGTTTCATAGTCAACCTTTTTTCCACAAGTTGGATTTGTGCGTTGCTTCCTTGAAACAAATTACTATCTCATCTATCTCATAGGTGGTCTACCATAAAACCTCTCTCAAAAGATGCAAATTACCATACAAATCTTCAAATTTTTATAGATTAAATGCTTCCACACTACAAGTCGCTATCAGTTTGGTTATCAGAGCTTTTTTGTGAAATCTTGAAGATATATTGCTTTTTATGTTATTTCTTTTCTTTATATCTATCAAAACTTTACACCAAAATTTTCTTCATGACTTTTCCTCTCCTATATTTCATCCTTTTATTCGGTAAAAAAAACATGGGAACACCTACTCGTTCTCTTGCTAAAATTAGGGCTTGGATCGATGCAGTCAAAGGTGAAAGTGTCCCTGGAAGTTCTTTGAGTACCACCGAAAGATCCAAATCATCCCTAGAAGATGATCTTGCCTTATTTAAAGAGGACATGAGATCTGCTGGCAAATTTGCAACTCTCTCAACAACAAAATACACAACATCAAGTTGATGGTGGTTGTACAACCAGAGATACACATAGAGAAAGAGTTTATGGGAATTTGGATAGCATTAAATTTAAGGTACGCATATTTTATGGGAAATGTGATCCTGAAGCCTCCCTAGATTGGGAGAAAAGCATAGAAAGAATCTTTGCTTTCCAACACTAAAAAATGTAACCTTAGCAGCTCTGTGTATGCATCAACATGGTGGCATCGGTTGTTTGAATCTAGGAAAAGGAACAGTGAAGATCCCATCACTAATTGTTTAGAGATGAAGACAATCTTAAGGAAGCGCTTTGTGCCATATCACTATCAAGGAGATCTATGGAGGCAGCTTCAATGCATGTCTCAAGGTTCTGATACTGTGGAGGACTACTTCAAAGAGATGGAAATAGACATGATAAGTGCCTTGAGAAACAACCATTTCAAGGTTTATGAATGGGTTAAATGCGGACATTGCTGAAGTTGTTGATCTTCATCCCTATATCTAGAAGATGGGGTCCAAATGGCAGGGAAAGTTGAGAGACAATTAAAGGGCAATCCATATGGCAAAAGGAGGAGTGAATTTGGTTCTTCTGGGAAGGGCAAGGTTGAGAACAAAAAGGAGGCGAATTCATTCAAGGGTAATGTTTATAAAGTCGATTATTTTTGTTCTTCTAATAACACTTCCAAACAAGTTACTTGTTTTAAGTGTTTGGCAAAAAGACATATTGATTCTAATTGTCCAAATACCATAAATATGATGATACATGAAGTGAAAATTGTTGAAGTAGGCGATGGAGATGATGATTCGCTTGAAAGTGATAATGAAGTGATCGAACCTGAAAGTGGTGCTTGTTTTGTCAATCCAGTATTGAATGCTCATGTTGAAGTTGACAAGGAGCAACGGGCAATCATTTTTCATATGAAAGGGCGTGTGAAGGACAAGGTGAGTTTGATTATTATTGATGGTGGTAGTTGCACTAATGTTATGAGTAACTATCTTGTTAAGAATTTGGAACTACTAACTCTTGAGCATCCTCATCCATATCGTTTGACTTGATTGAATGATAGTGGACAAATTAAAGTTACAAAGCAAGTATTGCTGAATTTTTATTGGGAAGTTCAAAGATGAAGTGCTATGTGATGTAATACCTATGAATATTGCGGATATTTTACTTGACGGATCTTGGATTTATGATAACAAGGTGTCTCGTGATAGATTCACTAATAGTTACTAATTCGCCAAGAGTAGTAAATCTTTTATTTTCTTGTCACTTTTCCTCATAAAGTGTCTGAAAGTGTTAATCAAATTCACAATGAGAGAAAGAAAGGTAAAAGAGAAAGAAGATAGATTTACTATTGCAAACTTTATTTCATGGCTTGGATATACTATAGATAATATTTGGAAATCCTTGAATGATTTTTGTGCATGTCCAAATCTAGAGGGGATGGGGATCTATGATCGTTAAACTCCATGGAGAACTCGAACACATCTTTCATCTTTATTTCAAAAAAGTTTCTAAGGCTAAGTATGCTCTAACCAGAGGTTTTTGGAAATTTTAACACAATGAGACAGAATAGGATAGTTTGGAGAAAAGATATGTTACTATATATATGGGAGGGGGCCCAAAGGGTGCTAGCAAATGAATAGAAAATGACTTCGAAGCAAAATATACCCAAAATAATAATGAAATTATTATTACTGATTATGAAGATGACTGGGATTATGAATTCCACAAACCTGTTGGGAGAAGACATGTTGTTCCAAAGGTTGCTTAATTAACCAGAAATTCAGAAATGTGCTGGATAAATCAATCCATCTTCTGATCTTCCCTCCACATGTAGCAAGGATAACTTTAGCAACATGCATCCCCAAGAATCTTTGCTCAAATTGATTTAGGTAACATCTCATAGGGAACTCGAAATAAGATATTTTGATGCCCTAAATCGCAATGGCCAAAAAAAAAAAAGAAAAGGAACCTTGAAACTTCGTGAGATACATGAGCTTTCAGAAGAAAAAAAATAACTGGAGTTGCATGAAGATCGGAGGGAAGCCAGGTTAACAAAGGAGAGAGAGTAAGAGAGATCTCAGCAAATAAAAATAGAAGAACATTGGGGTTCGTCCATCTGCATTAAAAAAGTAGCAACACCGTAGATAAAAATGGCAAGATAATAGACTTTTGGCACTGAAAGTTCTATCCCTTTTTAGGCGGAAGCAAAAAAAAAAAAAACCATGTTTGAAAGGCTTGCGAAGAGAGCTCCAGAACCGTTGGCCTAATGTTTTGGGAAAATAAATTTGCTAAACTATTTGATACGAGAAAACAAAATTAATTGAGATTTCCATTTCATTTTGGTAACCAGTTCATAATCAAGTTCTTGGCCTAATAGGAAAGTATTGGAATTTTTTTTTCTCGTTGATCATCTTTCTTTATTACAACTTTATAGATGTGCGCGTTACATGTGTGCTTCCTTGAATAAAGATTCTTAAACTACAGTATTTTTAGATGTAAATTCATGAACGGGTGTACGAAGCAACAACATCTTGCTCTTCCCGAAAGATAGAAATAAATAATTCATAATCCCTGGGTGAAGCAAGAAAATATATACATACATAAACAAGCCAGTTGGATGGCTCGATTCTGACAGAACAAAAAAAAAAAAAAAAAACAAAACAAAATTATCCCATTGAGAATTCCTCCAAAATCTTTTACCTCATATCACCAAGAACCTTTCCTTTCCAGACAACGGGAAAAGGAAGTGAAACTATTCAAGACACACTGGACTACGTTTCATAAGATCTTGGTGGTACAAGATCTGTGAACTTTTTTATACATATAAAACTACAAGTTATTGCTTCAAACACACAAGTATATGCAAAAAACGGAAGCAACATTTACCTAAAAAACAAATCTGCTATCACCGAAGAGTACAAGTTGCACTTCATCGAAGGTCAGACTGATAGTACGACCTGCCTATGGCTTTCGCAGCAGTAGCAAAATCAAGTATAATTAGAATCAGAATGGTCACATCAGCTGTAAATGTCCTTGAACTTCCAGTAAAAGCAAACTCCAATCTCCGAACTACTTCCTCAAAAATGCCTGCCATTGGAAAATTATCAATGAACAGTGTGTGTGGGTGTGTGTATATATATATATATATACACGTACGTATGTGCTACAATACATTGACCTAAAGTTTACAAGGGCCTCGATTTAAATCCTATCCAGCTTAAAATAGACCCAGGCCAAGTATCATCACGTAATTTTCATTTACCCAGGCCAAGTATCAGCTTAGACACTGGCTAAAGATCAACAAATGCAAAATTTTCTTTTACACCACCAAAAAGATTATTCCTAAAAAAATTGCATAAATGAAAGAATTACTGGAATATAAAAAGTTTCAGAAATCAGAATTACCTTCAAAGTCAATTTAAACTTTATATTGTTCAACATGCATCCACTTCGTAGATGACCATTTGTTGCCTTTAATTACTGGACAACCCCCTAACAAAAGTTAAAATACAAGTCAATTTTTTTTGCACAAAGAACTTTATGTCAGTAAATAATATCGAAACTGCAAAGGATGTGAAACCTTTTTGAATTTTTCACAACACAATAAGCAAATGGAACATGTTTATGACTTTACCTGAATTAAGTCAATCTATTATAGCTTTTCTTTAAACAATGAGATAGTACCAAAGAGCACGGGGCAGAGAATATGAGATTAAAGCATGTGGGTAGGAATCCTTACCATGCAAGCTCGATGGATCCAGAGTAGCATCTGGCCTCATGCTCCAGAAAAGAAGCGCATCACCCAATCTCGGTTTTACAGAAAGCCCCCTTTTCGCACATTCTGACATCTCATTCCATCCAGGAGAGGAGCTAAAATTGCCCGTAGCAGCAGGGAAAACTGTCTCTCCACCTTTCTCAACATCTGATCTGCATGCGGAAGGAACAAAGATCAGAAAGTAAACAAAGCACAGACTATTATTTCAGAAGGTGAAACTGAACGTACATGGCATAAAGTTACCAGAAATATAAATGAATCCAAGAGTTAACAAAAGTTGTAACTCACAGATACATCAAAACAGTAGCTATACGTTGGCCGCCATTTTTAGTGTTGAACTCGTCAAGGAAGTAATCATAATGAGGATCATACTTCTGTCCAACCTCATAGTGAAGAACCTGAAGACCTTCTCCATGTTCTGGAAAGCAATTAGCCACTTAGTTTTGATAAAGCGAGGGAAAAGCCTTAGCTGAAAACTGAGAATTCCAAAAATATATATAGCTGAGAATGGAAGCATCATGAACTTTTCCAGCAAATGGCTACAACCATTGGAGGCTCAAAAAATTTCAGTAAATGGACTGGTTCAATTGCATTGAGCTGGATTCCTTCAACAGGATGAATCATAACTAACGCCATAGTTTGGGCCAAAAAAATAAGAAATAAAAAAAACTTAGCAGTTTACACTGGTAGGCAGTAACAGGAAGATCAAGCTAAACTAATCTGCCCTCGGACTTAAAATAATAGCCTGCTCCTAGAACTACCTAACTTTTCGAAAAAAAACGACTAACAATTACGGGACAGGCACACTCGGTAGTTACAAAGAAATTCAATAAACCCATCCCCAAGGCAGTGGTTCTCACCTTTGCAGGAATGTAAAAACCTGTAATAAACCCTATCCCAGATGAACTGAATTCGGTCCAAATATTTTTGTTTCATTCAGAAAATTATAAAATACTCAACGCATTCCTTCTACATAATGTCTGTCATAAATAATTTGCTAACAATTAATTATTTTTTATATGTTAACTGAATTTTGACCAACTCATATACATGACCACCAAAGATTGGAAGACTATTCGAGTCCATGACATCTTAAGGTAAACATGAATAACTACATTGAGGAAAGTTCAAAGTCATCCTAGTCACACAACTTTCATCATCGTGTAAAAGTTCTTGCCCACCACTGGCCATAACTTCTCACACTTCAACTAAGGACTTAAAAGCTCCACCTCTGGGCCAGGATCTCTATGAGCCGTAGAAATGGTAAATCTTGGTGGTGATTCATATTCACACTAGGAATGGTAATCTTCGTCCAGAAATCAGAACTTAGAAGTGCCAATACAAAAATTAATTAAATAAGAACCAAAAGGGCTACTCAGAAGGGGTAGTCACCACATTACCCAATAGAAAGTTTAAGAGAAAACAATGAAGCATCTCTTGGTTACATAACTGAAGTCAAAATACCATGCAATCACAATTCCAAGAATCCAACCACCTTCAAAATTCCTATTTCCATTGATACTTGAACTAGAGAACTTAAAGAACTAAAAATCTTGTTTCGTTTACCCTTGCTTTTCCAAAACTATCCTAGTAACTTTTTCACTTCAAGGTATTATGCCATACATTACAGTGATGAAAGTCATTAAAGTGGGATAACAGTACAACACCAACTTAACTCTTTGTGTACACCTCAAGTCTATGCATATTTAGTAGGAATTCTTTTTAAAGCTAATGGTTCTCAAGCCAGAAGCCAGCTTCTAAGTGACATTTTCCCCAACACTAAACCTTTTCAAGAAGTTTTTACGGGGTACACACAAAATCTTTCCACAGCCCATTTCTGTTGGGTTGGATTTTCCCACCATCAACCAAGTTTCTAATCAGCATTTGGTTGAATTCTGCCATTAAGAGATCATACTCATGGAAAAAGCTGATGAGGGAAGACTTGACAATTTCCGCCCAAAAAATGAGGGTAGGATTTACCTAATCAACCATATCATATCCAAGCTCTTGGTCAAATTTCGACTACTTAAAGTAGACTAGAAGGACGACATGCTCGAATAACCTTGGTGAAAAAAGGCCTCTTCCACAAATTAATGTGAGATACACCCAAGCTTGCATCTCAGACACACAGGTGAAATCTAACATGACGTGTACTATCATTTTATTGCAAATAATTAATTTTGCAGGCAGATGTTCAATGAAAAATAGTTTGGTTTTCTTACCAACAGGAATGAAGGTATAGTCAGCTATCCTTTTCTCAATGGCTCTTATGACTTTATCTCGTCCCCTCCTCAAGAACATTCCAGAACTTGTACGAACCCTGCATTAAGCCAAGATTGGATGCAATACTAAAATCCGATTATGAAAAACAAAAACATAAAAGGGACGGTAAAAATAAAAGGTTCATCTTCAGATATTCATTGACATGTAAAAGCTATCATGATGGAGAGGTAACACATACCTGCTATCTTTACTCTGACCTGTTTTGCTATCGACAACTGTAGATTTTGCCATGTGAGGTTTAGCAAGATTTATAAGATACTCGCATTCTTCCTTCGACTGTTACAGGAGAGGAAACCATAACACGTTATCGATACAGCACATTAGATGCACAAGTTACAATACTTTATACCAAAAACGTACAGTGCGTATGTCCCTTCATAGATACTAATCCTACTCTCCCTCTGTCCTTCCTTACAAAGACAAGAAGCACGTGTTTATATTAATCATCATCATCCTATTTGCTCTCACAAAGAAAACAATTATAATCTGATTTCAAAATGGACCTTCTCCATAAGTTTCTTAAGATCACAATCTTGAGAATCTCATTTTTAGGAGATCAATTGAGAAACCAAAAGTAGAGCAGTTGGATTCACCACGTGAACTTCAAAGCGCCATACACATAAAGCATTAACCTTACTGAAGATCCATATGGTAATACAATACTTAGTTTTATCACATTTGGCAGACGCCAAAAAACCTTAAGCAGATGAATTGAAGTGCAAACTATCAGAATCGACCAATTCACACAGAATCAAGCAAAATGACATTGGAGTTTGATTTGGAAAGCTTAAATGCACATAAAAATAAAAAAATAAAATAAAAAAACAAATGCAACCTTAATACCCCTCTTCTACAACCCAAAAAAAAAAAAGGAAAAGAAAAAGCAGAACCCCTTAGAATAATAATAGGTTAAATGTTCCCTATCATTTCTTAATGGTAAACCACATTTTGCCATAGAACTGATCATCATGAAATACGAGGGAAAAAACACAAAGGAAAAAAAGCCCCGTTTTCAAGCACACTCCCTGCCCCAAAATGAATGTCCTGTCTGAATTTCCAGTTTTAGTACAATTAGAACTCTCTGTATTCAATCATCCCTCTAGCTATTTCAAACTCAACATCAGAAGAAACTTTTGCACCCAATAAATTATAGTAATTACACAAACATTACCAAGAAATTATGATAAACAAAAGCCCTCGGCTCCCAGGAGAGCACCTCAGTCCACTGCTCACCTCTCTTCCCCAATCCATCTCCCTCACCGCTGCAAATGGAAAAACACGCAATAAATGACCAATTAATTAAAAAAAATCACAACATCAAAATAAGGGGGGCTCCGAATTACAAAAATAAATAAATAAAATAATATATACATGTCGAGGGACAAGCGCTTGAACTTGAAACTGTCATTCACCGGAGAAGGATCGTCGCCGGAGCCAAGGGGAAGGGAGAAAATACCGAGAGCCAAAAGCACTAAAAGCACAATTGTCAACATAAGAAGCATTGAGAGAACCAACGTCACGGTGGACGTCGATCTCTTGGATTGATGCTGCCGGCCAACCCTACTAGTTCCTTTAGCCATCTCTGCTTCTCTTCGGCAATCCTCTCCCAGAATCCCACCGGCATAGACAGATGGTGGAAGAAAATATACAGTAGTTTTTTTTATTTGATTATTAAAAACTTTTTTTTTATATATTGCAATTGATATGAACCGTAGTAAACCCCTACTGGGTTCAACTTGAACGCCAACAGATTTGACACCGCGGGAATTGTTTTCCAGTTTTCACCAAAACTCCTGCGCAAATTTGTGCCCTTTGTTAATTATTACTATTAAATTACTAATATCAGTAGTTCCCGTGCGTTGCACGGGTTGCGAAAATTTTCCCATAAATAATAGTTTATGAGAAAATGGAGGTGTAAGCCATACTTTTAGATGTATTTCAATTATTTATAAATAGAACTAGGTTGCTCTTTGTCGCGCGTTACACGACCAATTTATCGACCTCTTAATAAATTCAGCTTGTTAGTATACTTGTTCAGCTACAATTTCTTTCTAATCCTAATAGAACAAATAATATGACAAACTTTGAATACCAAAAACATAGACAAAGTAAATCTTAAATACCAAATAAACTTGTTTTAATTCGTTTCCGTTATTCCGTTCTGCTTTGGCAAGACCTATCTCCTCACAAACATGACCGAGTATTTAGAACCCAACTGACTACACTCAGAGAGTTCATAAAAACAAGACTACTCTCAAAGACAAAAATATCAAATTAGATGCTAAAACCTGGAAAGCATGTCATAAAGTACTATTAATATTTTTCTCACCAGCATTTATATTGTTTCTTAAGTCTAAGCATCACATATGGTTAGTGTCAATAAGTATTCATTTAGAGCAATTTAGTTGTAGCAAAGTTCTACAGCTTGAACTGAAGTTTAGACTGAAGATAATATTTGTATTTCCTCGTTTTAGAGGTATAAACCTACAACCTGATTAATATTCTTGCATCAACTAAATGTGTCTCTTTCGAAGCTATTCAAAATAACATCTTTCATTGTTGATAATAAACCAGTAAACCTTCCTCCACGGATGTTGTCACATTTTGGTTATTGTAGTCAATCATATCCACTATAGTACCCTGTTGGCAAGGAAAGATGTGATTATCAACATCCATTACAGGAGCACATCTAAGGTAATGTAAGATATGAAAAGCTTCTTACCTTGTCAATCACCAGAACAGACAGATCTTCATAATAAGAGCAAGTTCATTTACTAATTCATAAACCTATAAAGCCACAAACGGAAAAATTGTGAGCCACACCTTCTGTTAGCTAGTTGAGGAGATCAAATATATCTAATAAGTTACCTATTGAATTTCCCTCTCCCTTTCTACTGTGAAAGCCTCACTTTCTAATGAATGTGATACATTAATAACAGGAAAACTTATTCTTTTACAAGGGATCAAATCTTACCAGGTCCTTAAAGATATCTTCTGCCTATTTGGAATGGCTTCCGTTCAAGTTCATTTCAAGGTCAACTAGGCAAACAGAAAAAAGAAAATGACATTAAAGAAAATCGCTTAAAAAAGGATAGCTCAAACAAAAACAAAAAGCCCCGATAAAAAACCTATGAATGAGGCCCACTCATAAAGAAAACAAGGATCAACAAACAAAGCAAAAGAACTCAAAGTTTCCAGACTGGTGGCGACTACACAAGCCTGACGTCATAATGGGGCTCTTTAAACAAGAATAATCTACTTCATTGAAACTTGCATATGCAAATTGAACAAACCTAGTTTTACAGAATAAAGGCAAACCTCTTTCTGTTACAGTAATCGCTTCAGATACTTAGACTAACTCTTGTGAAGTACTACTGAGAGGCTCTGAAGGTCAGTAGCAAGGGATCATGTCACCCAAAAAATCAACACATTGTAAGCACAAAGCTGGAAAACACCACCTAATCTATACGCGACGAAGCTAAAAGTGTAAGTGGTTACTTGTCTGTTTCTGTTTCTTTTTCTTATTTTCAAGAATTGAGCATAAAAGCAAGAAGACTTAAGTTCCTTGAAGCACACCATGTAATAAAATGGAAAAAGACAAACAGATGAACGATTAATAAACTAACAATAAAATCGAAAATAGGAAGTGTTAAAATCATTTGTCCAATGCAAGCTTGACAGATGACTTAGATTGATGATATACACAGTTTACATCACATCTTTATTTTCCACAGTGGGAGGAAATACAACTATTTTCACAGGAGGAGCATCCAATTAAAAAACCTAGTCTTGTTAACCATGATTATCAACAGATGACACAAGGAAAATGATTCCAATGTGGCCATGTATCTGTTACTATCACTTAGTGGCAGGTGGCACTTCAACTGCATATGCTACTTTATACATAATATAACAATTATATATGAACCTAGCTTTTCCAGCCATACCTGCACATTTTTCCGAACATTTGAATCCTCCGAAGGCCCACCAGCAGTAAGTCTGTTTTTCTGATTTTCTCAACAGATCAGTTATTTCTTGGGTAAGAACTCAATCCGGTGCTGATCTTCTTTCCCATCCCCGAACAAGGGCATTGATGCCTTTGCATGAGTCTTGGCTAACTCAGCCATTTTCGTCCTCGCTCGTTGCACATTTGCTACGATTTTTTCAGAAACATCTACCCAAGCTGGGGGCAAACTAACTGTTACCACACCTCTACTGCAAGAAAGAAGAACTATGGTGAACATTTTAACCAAGCTGAGATAGCACTCCATACAAAAATTGAACAAAAACTTTGAAAAAAATATAGCAAGCCCAATGTCAAAGAAGAGGACAAATGTATTTCCACAAAAGCTGGTCACAAAACACAACGCTACAGATAATTTTAATAACAGAATTTATTAACAAAAGATGATAACAAAACACAATATTTACCCTCAAGTTTTCAGAAGTGATCAAAAGTTAAGGACTTTCTCTGACAAGCCTACGTGTGCACGTAAACTTCAAACACATGGGGACAGCAAAAAACAAAAACGTTGTACACAAATTCTGAAGCCCCTTGTGGCGAAACTAATTTTAGACATAAACTTGATTCTATCGAAAATAAGAGCTATGTGTGCATCATTTGCTATTCTGGTTGGCTACGTTCCTATTTTGAACTCTGATGCTACCCAAACTCTTGAAGCAAAGGAAAATATTGTTCTCCAAGCGAAGTCCTCCATTCTGAAGCCAATTCTTCATCCAATACTTCATTGGCTAAAAATTAGGGCTATACAGATAGATGGTATAATTACTCATTCGCAGTATAGATGTTCAAAGAACAAAACACCATGTACTCCCTTGTCCACATAATAGAAAACTAATGTACATCAAATAGGACTTTAGATCAATATAGATCTAAAAGTATACTCTGGTTTTTTTAAATTAATAGTCGAAAGAAAAGGGCATCCAATCAATCAATGTACAAACCATTATTGAAATCAGGCACAAAATCATGCATGTGGCATCAAGAGCTCTCTCTGAGATCAAGAAATTATTCAGCCAAAATGCACCACCATTAAATAAATACCAAATAATGAAAACAACTAATAGTTGTTGAATCTTAATGATTTTCGTCGTTTTGGATGTCATAAATGTTATAGAATTTACGACCTAGTAAAGAAATTCTGGAGGTGTATAATTGGTTTTGTGGTTTAACATTATTCAAATAAAAAAACGCATCTAAATTCAAACCAAACACGAACATTATTCAAATACCCCGCCGATAAGTGCATCAAACATTATTCAAAGACTCCGTTCTGTCTGTGAGGCACTATTGGAATAAAAGACTTATCGAACATCAGACAAAACCATCGGGCGTTAGACTCCTTTTCGCCTCTCTGTCAATTCCATGCCCAATACCATCACCATCTCCAACTCTACCGCGGGAAGTGCACCACCATGCTCTTCTCTTGAACTGGAGATCTTGGCTAGTTCTCCCCACTGGTGGGTATGTTGGTTTTGTTGGATTGCAACAATCGATTTGAACCGAAATCCTTAAAGAAGTATGGTTGGTCCGTGAATCTTCTTCTTTTCCTTCAATGGGAGAACAAATTAGCAAAGGATTCCAACTCCGACTCTATTAAATCGGGGGGAATTGGGTTTAAGTCCAATCAGAACAAAATGATAAGAGATGCAGATGGTGATGGATATGGGATTGACATCAGATCTGAGCGAAGAACAACACGCACAATTTGCGTTCCTCTTTGGGCCATCTCATGTTTCTCGTATCTACCCCATAAGTCTCTTTGGTGGACAATTAGTTGGGGGAAGAAAATTAAGCGCGATAAATGTCTGTCAAGGGAGATTTTGGAGAATTTCCAGAGAGAATAAAGAGAGTATGTAATCGGCGGGATGGGATGATAGTCGCATAGGTCAACGACGTGCAGGTTTTGTAGGCAATTGGCATAACGACGTCGTTTTGATTTTCAAGGTTTTAATTTTGGGCGTTGCTGTTAAACGATAGTGTATTGGATGTCAAGGTTTTTAATTTTTTGGCTGTGGGAATGTTTTTCTTATTAAATGACTATTTTACCCATTTTTAAAATCACTGATGTCATCGAGAGTCTCTCAGCCAATCAAAATATTGCTTCACCATTGGAATATGATTGAAGGTGCTCCTTTTATAAAAAGAGGGATAATACGAATTTAGTTTACTGATTCCAAAAGTATATATGAAAAGAATATTATCAGCGCACAATATAGATTTTATTTGGTATAAGCCTTTGACAAGATAATAAATTCATTTTGCAATAGTTGCAATGAGTTTCTTAACAAACTCAACATAAATAAGTAATAAATTAATATTCTGGGAACTTCTCCATTCTCAAATTGTCTTATATTTTTTTCACTACTTATTTTATTCTCACTGGTCACTATTAAATTCAATGTCGACAATAAATCCTTCATTTATTGAAATTCGGACCTAAGAAAATGACTATACTAGTGTTCCATAACATCATTCCATCCTGCAAAATAAAATAAATAATCTGATAGAATACCATTACCACAAAAAAAAAATTCACAAACTGTAATGATCCATTTGTTGATTAGCAAAATAAGAGCAAAGAAAAAGATAAATAATCATTGAGTGATAAATTTGTCAACTGTGGAAAAGATCAACCTTAATTCTAAATTCTAAACCCTAAACCATAATGCGTTAACAACTTATATGGTTGATGGATTGATTGAAATATAACTCCGGTACAAAAGTACTTGAGTGGTTTACTTAAAAAACTCAGAAGGTGAGCTGGAGAAGAAGAAACGTTTACTAAAAGAACTTATGCAGAAAATTAACCTTCAATATATATATATATTAAAGGAGAGTTGATCATTGAACACATGCCG